AACCCGGCCCCTGGCTCAAAAAGGTTGCCTACCCCTGCTTTAAACCAATCATAAAATTCTCTACCATACAAGTATTAGCAAGACACTGCCAATCATTTCACATACTTCTTGGAAGAATGCACCCACATGTTCAGAGACAAGGGGCATAATGAAAAAACAGAATGCATAAAGGTATTACATCTCTGTGCCTTCAGAAAGGTATTACATTAAGATTACATGTCTGCGCCAACTCTGTCCTAGTTTATTTTTCCCTTCAGTTTTTCTACAGCTTTCAATCACCCCGTTACTTGTGTTTCTTGCAACTAGTACTTGAGCTTCCCTATGGTACAGCTGCACTAGCCATTTTTCTGTAATGTCTCCATGATGAGTCACTGCTTGGATGGGTCTGGCTATAGCAAAGCAATATCTGCATTAAAGAAGGATTCAAGGATGTTCTTTACTATGTAAAAAAACATTGGAACAGAAGGCAGCTCCATTTTAAGCAATAAGCAAGAAACTATCAGGGCAATCTGAAGTCATGTTTGTGGATCAGCCTCCTGCTTCCTCTACCCACTGAAAGGTGAAGCAGTAGGCCATTCCTGGAAGGGGAGTGCCTTTCCTCTTCTCCTCCAGGAAGAGAACTGCCTGTTGCAAGCAATCTTTCAGGAAACAGGGATAACCTTACAGAATGCAGATGGTCAATAACAACCATTCAAAAAAATAGCCCCAAAGAAGGGTATTAATGTGTGTCCTATGCTACTATATAAACCTGCTATTGGCAATGAACAATTTCTTTGAACCATCCATTATCTTTTTGTTATAATTGTGATACTACCCTTTTCAACCGTATTTTTACTTCTTATGTCTGTCTCTATCCCTCCAATTCTTGGCTTTCCTTAAGAGAAATGGTCAGCCCTACTCCTTGACCTTCTTTTATATTTAAAATTAAAGTTAAAATTCTGAAAGAATATTCTGTAAAGCAATGTGAACTACTAATTACTGTCCTTTATGCATTTTGGTTGGCACATAAAGGTATCACTCTTTTGTGGATTTTATTCAAAATTCCCATCCCTCATTGATGGGTTTACACTAAAAATATAAATCAGAAACATTACTCATTTAGAATATTGCAGAAAAGTCACATTATGGAAATATGCTAGGCCACAGAGAATATAGTATTGTTTTTGGCCTTCAATCTTAATTCTGGGCAAAGCAAGATCAAAACTGAGAATGATTTTGTTATTTCAGCATCTATATCAATTAGCCAGAGAACTGCTGGTTTACTACAGCACATCAAATAAAATCAGACACAAGTGATTTTCAAATCCTGAAGAAGCCTTGTCTGAATCCCCAGTCTGTCTTTCAGATATTCTTCTCATTTGAACTCTTCAACTGAAGCATTTTGAGTTGAAAAGTTACGTTCCAAGTGGGCCAACAGTTTTATCCATCTAAATCCATACACTGTTTTCACAGACTCCAGAACGTGACAGTAAAATCTGCTGGCCAAGACTGTTTACATTCATTACATAAAAGCTACACACCCAACTTGTCTACACGGTGCTACATTATGTTAACAAAACATAAATACAGGGCAACTGGTACTCAAGTGTATGAGAAATAAATACAAGGTAACACTGCTTTTAAAATATTAACATATTACTGATTATAGACCTGAGAAAGACTTTACACATAAGTATGTGTGTGTATATCTGTATTGTATATAAACAGATATAGGTGACTAAAAAGCAAACCAACAGCACTTCTCTCAGGTTTGTCCTCAGTCCCAGAAGGATGTAGTTAATCACTAAACTACATATATTTATTGCAGTGACTAAAAAACTAAACTAAACATGTATATAAAATTAGCAAAATGTTTCTTTTTCCAATTGAGAGACATTTTAAATTCATTACATAAGAACAGTAGCACTGGGGATCATCGCTTGCTTGAAAACACAGCCTTTGACTTGCAAATTCTTGCTCCCAAGTACCTGAGAACTAGCTTTGGTTTTTAACTGGCAAGAGAACTGGGTTTGCATATGCTAAGAGGCACTTTTATATTTAACACAACTGACCAACTTTTCATCGAAAAGAAACCTAAAGTAAGAAAAAGGCAACAAGCTCAGGTCTGTCCCAAGAGCTTCAGCAGGTGCCTCTACACTGAGGAAATAATGCAGTTTGACACCACTTTAACTGCCATGGCTCCATCCTACAGCATCCTGGAATTTGCAGTTTTGTGAGGCATCAGCCCTCTTTGGCAGAGGATAGACTTTATAAAACTACAAATCCCAGGATGGAGCTACAGCATTTCTTGTTAGCTGCTCTCAAGTCGAGCTTCACTCATGGTAACCCCTGTGGATGAGAACTCTCCAACACCCCTTGTTCTCCTCTGCTCAGGTCTTGTAGACTCAGGCCCATGGCTTCCCTAATTGAGTCTAGCCACCTGGCATGCAATCTTCCTCTTTTTTTATTACCCTCTACCTTTCCTAGCATTATTGTCTTTTCTAGTGATTCATGTCTTCTCATGATGTGGCCAAAGTACAAAAGCCTCAGTTTTGTCATCCTGGCTTCCAGGTAGAGTTCAGGCTTTATCTGTTCAAGGATCCATTTGTTTGTCTTCTTGGCCATTCACAGTATCCTCAGCACTCTTCTCCAGGACCACATCTCAAATGAGTTGATTTTCTTCCTGCCAGTTTTTTACACTGTCCAGCTTACACATGTGTACATGGTGACGGGGAATACAATGGCTTGGAGAATCCTCACTTCAGAGTCATGCCTTTACACTTTATGAACCTGTCCATTTCTTTCATCGCAGCCCTTCCCAATCCCAGTCATCTTCTGATTTCTTGACTGCAGTCTAGATGGAAGTATAGCAGTTAAAACTGTTGTCTAAGTACATTATTTCTATAATGTAGATGCCCCATGAGTCTGCAGATGACTAGGAATCCTGCTACTCAACAATGATGGTAAGATTCAAAGACATAGCTTTGTTAGTCTAGGAAATAAGTATGCAAAGGGATCTTGCAGCACCTTCAAACTAACTGAAAGAGAGAAAAAGTTAGTAGTATGAGCTTTCGTAGACTTGAGCCTACTTCTTCAGATGCATTTGGTGGAGTGGGTAACCCAGGGACAGACCTATATTCTGTGTGACAATGTCAATATCAATGTAAAAGTTTATGGGTGTAGGGATGAGGTAACAAGTTCAGTTTTAACCATGGTTGTTGAGAGAGAAGGCAACAATGTTGCCTAAAGTCAATATGAGTAGACAGCCATATGAATGAGCTTTGGGATGCAATGTGGGAGCCAAAAAGATGTGATGAACTGGCCAAGAGAGCTCCTATAGGCCCCATAAGGCTGGGGTGCTAGCCTGTGTCATAATGTGCATAGTGTGTAGGGTAAGAATCATAGAGTTGGAAAAAAATCACAAGAGCCATCCAGTTTAACTCTATTCTGCCATGCAGGAACTCACAACCAAAGCACCCCCAATCGATTGCCATCCAGCCTCTGTTTAAAAGCCTCCAAAGGAAGATACTCCATCATATTCTAAGGAAGTGTGTTCCACTGTCAAACAGCTCAGCTCTTATTGTCAGGAAGTTCTTCCTAATGTTTAGGTGGAATCTTTTCCTGTAGTTTGAATCCATTGTTCTGTGTCATATTCTCTGGAGGAGGAGAAAACAAGCTTGTTCCATCTTCAATACGATACCCTTTCAAACACTGAAACAGGACTATCATATCTCCTCTTAACCATCTCTTCTCCAGGCTAAACACAGCTCCCTAAGTCTCTCCTCATAGGGCATAGTTTCCAGGCCCTTCACCATTTTGGTCCTCTGGGCAGGCTCCAACTTGTCAACATCCTGTTTGAACTCTGGTATCCAGAACTGTATTCCAGGTGAGGCCTGACCAAAGCAGAATGGAGTGGCACTATTACTTCCCTTTATTACCCTCTACCTTTCCTAGCATTATTGTCTTTTCCAGACATTATACTTCTATTGAGGCAGCCTAGAATCACATTTGCTTTTTTAGCTGCCGCATCACACTACTGACTCATGTTCAAGTTGTGGTCTACTAGCATGGCATAGTGGTCTGAGAATTGGACTATGACTCTGGAGACCAAGATTCAATCCCCAGCTCAGCCATGAAACCCACTGGATGACTTTGGACATGTCATACACTCTCAGCCTCAGGGCAAGGCAATGGCAAGCCTCCTCTGTACAAATCTTGCCAAGAAAAAGCTGCGGTAGAGTTGTCTTAGGGTCACCAGAAGTCGGAAATGACTGAAAGGCACACAACAACAGGACTCCAGGATATCTTTCCCAAGGACTGTTGTCAAGCCAAGTGTCCCCTCCCCCATGCTATATCTTTGTGTTTCATATATATATCTCCCCTTATGAATAGTTCATACTAAGTAGCAGGACTACTAGTAGTAGAGTGTCTGTGTGTGTTGTGTTCCTTCAAGTCATTTCTGACTTTTGGTGACCCTTTCATGGGTTTTTTTTCTTGGCAAGATTTATTCAGAGGGGGGTTTGCCACTGCCTTCTCCTGAGGCCGAGAGAGTGTGACCTGCCCAAGATCACCCAGTGGGTTTACATAGCCAACCCAGGAATCGAACCCTGGTCTCCAGCATCACAGTCTGACACTCAAACCACTATGCCATGCTAGTAGGCTACAACTTGAACAGGAGTCAACAGTGTGATGCAGCAGCTAAAAAAGCAAATGCAATACTAGGCTGCATCAACAGAAGCATAATCTCTCAAACCACTATGCCACGCTGACTCTCCAACCAATATGTAAAGAGATCTTGTAGCACCTTTGAGACTCACTGAAAGAAAGAAATTGGCAACATGAGCTTTCGAAGACTTCAGTCTACTTCCGATGCATCTGAGGAAGTAGACTGAAGTCTAGGAAAACTCATGCTGCCAATTTCTTTATTTCAGTGACTCTCAAAGGTGCTACAAAATCTCTCTACATAACGATTCTACAGACTAACACGGCTATATCTTTGAATTCTCCAACTAGTAGAACAGGGGTAGGTAACCTTTCCCCTTTAAGGGCCGAGGGACTTCAGCTCCCAGAATCCCAGGAGCTATTGGCCAACATGGGACTATTGGCCAACATGGCTGAGGCTTCTGGGAGCTGAAGTCCCTCGGCCCTTAAAGGGGAAAGGTTGCCTACCCCTGTAACAGAATCACAGAACAATAGAGTTGGAAGAGACCTCAAGGGCCGCCCAGTCCAACCCCATTCTTCCATGCAGGAACTCTCAATCAAAGCACCCCCTGTGACAGATGGCCATCCACAGCCTCTGTTTAATGTTGAGGTGGAATAACTAAGGTAGTAACTACTGAATACTAACGTACATCCTCAAGAGCACTTTCTCCCCTCCCAGAAATAGTTGGGGGCCGAGGCCTGAGGACAAATTAAGCCCCGGAGCGAGGCCACAGGGAAGGAGCGGTCCATGAGGGGCCTCCCTTCCTCGCTGGGCTCCAGGTACTCACACACTCCGAGTCGCCGGGGCTGCCTCCCGCCGTCAGCGCCGCCTCTATATTACTTTCGGTGCCGGCAACATCTGCGGCGACAACGGCAGCCCCTCCGCCACCGCCTCCGCCGTCACTGCCGCCTCCACTGCCTCCGGGTCCGGCCAGGCCAAGGCGGTGGGTTCCCCGCGGGGAAGGGGCTGCGCTTCCTGGCGGCGAGTCAGACTCGTCCTCCTCGCTACTGTCCTGAGAAGCTCTCTGCCTCCGCCGGTCCGCCATCTTGACAGTAGAGAAGAAGAAACAAGAAGCGAAAAGGTTATGAGGGGGGGGAGGAGGAGGAGCAAAGGGGATGACGGGTAAAACGAGCGGCACGCGGGCACAGGGAAAGACTACCCTTCCCAGCAGGCAGCGCGGCCTGTGCGTGTGTGGACTCCGTCCCCTTCTTCCCCCAGAATCCTTTGCGAAAAAAAACCTGTGAGGGAAGGTTAAAAAAGGAACCAGCGCCCAATAGGAGCGCGGCGGCGAGGTGACGTCACGGGGGAGAGGCACGGGTTCTCTCTCCTCCCCCATCCCACTTCGCAGGGAGGGGAGAGAGGGAGGACGCCCCTCGGCAAAAGCGTCACGTGCAGCACGAAGGCGGTGGGCGGAGCCCGCGGGAAAACTGCTGGGCCGCCCTGACGCTTTCCCACTGCGACGGTGACGTCATCTCTGCTGATCGTTTCTGGGCTGAAAGAACTGAGGGCAGGGCTTTGCAGAGACCTTGGAGGAAGGGGAATAAAAGGATCATAAAGAAAGGCTGGGAAAGCAGTTAGGAGCGGTCCATAGAGTGGCAGACTGGGTCCGGGAGGCTGGTGGGAAAGGGAGAGAGAGAAAGAAAGAAAGAAACCAACTAACCCAACAGGCTGCATCCGCATTGCATAAATAATCCAGTTTGAAACCGCTTTAACTGCCCTGGCTCAGTGGCGAATTCTGGGAATTGTAGTTTTTCCTTCTCTGTCAGAGACCTCTATTTAGCCTTCTCTGTCCAGTCAGTAAAATTTTGGCCAATAGCCTTTGCATTTAGCCTTCTCTGTCAATCTACAAATCCCAGGATTCCACAGCACTGAGGCATGGCAGTTAAAAGTGTTGTAACAAGAGCCAGTGGGGATTGCATGTTGGACTAGGACTCTGGAGACCAGAGTTCGATTCCCCACTTGGCCATGAAACGCATTGGGCGACCTTGGGCAAGCCACAGTCTCTCAGCTTCAGAGGAAGGTAATGGTAAACCTCCTCTGAAGAAATCTTGCCAAGAAAACCTTTTGATAGGTTCGTCTTAAGGGTCGCCCTAAATCTGAAAAAACTTGGTAGGCGCACAAGAAATCAAAAGTGGTGTCAAACTGCATTATTTCTGCAGTGCGGACGCAGCCCACGTTACCATGCATTGAAACAGTACTGACCTTGACTAACCCTCGTTATAAGGCTCAAGTAACATCAGCCATAACAACCGTTCACCTTCCTATCATTTGCCCCTTCTGCTGCTTACCTAAGACAAATCTATTCATCAAACACACTAAAAATGGCATGCAGAAACAATAGAAAATCTTGAATCCGCTCATAAATTAGGCTATTAAGAAGCTTGGTAGTCACTGAAGCTGCCTGGATCATACGGAAGACCAACCTATTCCAGCAGCACATTAACCCCCAGAGTCTAGGTCTAGGCAGATGCTAATGAAAAGTTCATGGTCAGGACATGAGGGCAATCATCCTGCCCCAATCATTCTTTTCCTAGCAACTTGTACATTCAGATGCTTGCTGCCTTGGGACTTAGCACATCAACATCTTTAGGAGCCACTGATAAAGAAAAAACCCTGGAGAATAAGGATAAGTCCCTTTAATGCTATAGTGGCCATTGCATCACCATGTAGTAGGGAATCATGCACTGCACAAAGCACTTTTGACAGGTCTTTAATCAAGACAGCTTCACTGGATGTTCAAAGTTCAAGTTATGGCCTATAAAGCCCTACATGGCTCTGGTCCAGGCTATTTGGCAGACAGTGGTCCAAAACACACTGCAGAAATAATCCAGTTTGAGACCGCTTTAACTGCCCTAGCTCAGTGCTAGGGAACGCTAGGAACTGTGGTTTTATGAGACAGACTTTTCTTTCACAAGAGCTGTGGTGCCACAATAAACTATTGTTCTCAGGATTCGCTAGTACTGAGCCAGGGCAGTTAAAGTGGTCTCAAACTGGATTATTTTTGCAGTGTGTTTTCGATCTGCATCTCCCTATATAAGCTTCAGGAGAGGTCCTTCACTCAGTCCCATAACCATTGCAAGTGCAGTTGATAGGGAAACAAGAGGGCCTTCTCAGTGGCTATCCCAATTCTGGAAATCACTTCCCAGGGATTCAGCAGGGGCAGGGGGGAGGAGAGGCTAAAACCTTTTTATTCAGACAGGCTTTTAAAACCTGTCTGAAAAAGAAGTTTTAAAATAATAGACTAGGGAGTGTTTTGTTTTTAAAAAGGTAAAGGTATTCCCCATTGACAAAGTTGTCAAGTCGTATCCGACCCTAGGGGTGGTGCTCATCTCTGTTACTAAGCCGAAGAGCCAGCGTTGTCAGAGATTACTCTGTGATCCTGTGACCAGCATGATTGCACAGAATGCTGTTTACCTTCCCACTGAAGTGGTACTTATTTATCTATTTGCATTTGCATGCTTTTGAACTGCTAGGTTGGCAGAAGCTGAGACTTGTGACAGGAGCTCACCCCATCATGAACTATTTTTAAGAGCTTTTATCTTTTAAAAGTGCATTTTATTCTTTTATTGTGTGATTTGTTTTAATACTATAATAGTTTAATTCTATTTTAGTGTTCACTTTTTGTATATTTTTAACATGTTCTTTTAGATTGTGAGCTGCTTTGAGTCCCAATTTTGAAGAAAAAGCAGGATACAAATATAATAATAATAATAGCAGCAGCATGCCAAGGGGACAAAAATTTTATTCCTATCCACTTTCTCCATGACATGTATCATTTTATTGTGTCTGTCATGCTCTCCCCATTTATCTTAAGTTAAAGAGCAGAGATTAAATGTTTCTCCATGGGGGACTTTCTCTAATGCCTTGACAAATTTATCTGTAGTATTCCCTACATTTTTGTAACTGTAGCTGTTTTGGGGTTTTTTTGGAGGGGGGTTAATGTGTACCAAGCAAACTTCACACAGTACTCTGTGTTATTGCACTATAGATTTGTTGATAAAAAGGTGAAGCGTATAATAGTTTTATTTTTGATTCCTTTCCTAATAATCCACAATGAATTTATTTGCCTTTGTCACAGCCACCACAAGCGCCTTCTAGAAACAGGGTCTTTAGAACACCCTTGTAAAAGTTTGCCTGAAACCCATTAATGTATTTTCACCTTTTTGTTTTCCCAGACTTCTAATCTTTCTTTTATTTAAAAAAATTGCTCTTTAATTATAATTGTTTTATGCTGTGTAAGCTAACTTGGGAGCAATCATTGTGAAGGGGAGGACAGGTATTGTCCAATAAAAAAAAAAATTCAATTGCCTTGGCTATTGTTTCTAATCTCAGAAATCATCATACCTCAAAGACGTCAGAACACAGGGCACCTATGTAAAACTGCAAACACAGCATTCTTTCACAAGTTCAATCTGTTCAGTTTGACTGTTCTTGTGATTGGCTGTACCATTTCTACTGTCATTTCCCTGTTTTAGGTTTCATATAGGCGTAGCATGAAATACAATACTGTTTCTAGAGCTGCTGCTGGAATGAGTCATTCTCTTGTATATATTTTGTTATTACAGAAACATGACTACTGCTACTTTGTGCATTTCATGGACTTCTGGCCCTACTCTTCAGACATCTCTTGATTTATGCCACCTTTATGCATCTAAAAAGTTTGAAGCCACTTACTTTTCTGTCTGATAACAGAAATAGATTCTACTCCTCAAAATTGTACCCAGTCTGTCAAACGAGGCACAACACATGAGAAAAGCATTAATATTCTTTTTGTTTTATTGTAAAAAAAAAAAGATTTGTTTCAATTTTGTTTAAACATACAAGCAGAACTTCTTTTTAATACTCCCTGTTAACACTGTTAAACCTAAATGAACCAAAGCAATTAAAAAAAAAACATTAACAGCCACAAATTTGGTATTTACAAACTTCTTTTTCCTTTATAAGATATTTACAAG